GGCAGAAAAGGTACGTACTGTTGACAGGTACTACTGGCGGAAAAATGTCTATACCTGCGTGGTCCCGACAATCCCTTCCTCTATGTGTAGTACCGCAGGGTACGTTGCCCGTCACCTGTAGTCTAAATCTAACCGAGACAGCTACAAAGGCATCAGGAACGAACAAGGCCACGCGAGGGACCAGTCGTACGCCCTAAGAACCGGCTGAAGGAAGCCCCTAGACCAATTTTTAGACGTGCTAGAACACGAATACCATGTACTCCACCAATTCGAGAACCGCACATTGTATAACAACAGCTGCTCCCCTTCCTCGCTCGCCGGCCCCCGCTGAGTGTCCCTTGTCCTCTTATACGACATCTACTTCTTGAAATGCAAGCTGAGCAGCGCCGTTGCTAAGTAAATATCGAAAGGGCAAGACGTAGAGAGAGGAAGGTCCTCTTATCTCCCATAGGGAGGGGCGCTACCGCTTGCAGTCACATGCAAAGCTGCGCTAGCCACTCTCGACTTGGCGTGGGCAGTCAGCCACACTACTTCGTGCTGCGCTACACTGTTTTTTATAGCTGAGGAGATCTAAGAAGTGGGATGTGGCTCCCTGGTCTCCCCGTTTACAACATTGGGCGCTCTAGCCCTAAGGATAGCCGAATGATACAGTCGCTCGCGAAATCGCCTTCCGCTTTTTACTTACACCGTGCCTGTTCCTACCGTCAAATGCCCCGCACAATCCAGCACAGTGCTGCTTCACGGGCTCCCACTAGATGCGCGGGTCCGGAGCAGGGTCCACATGGACTACCTGACAAGGGACCCATGAGTGTGCAGAAGCATGGGAAAATGAGAAACCGCAGTTGAGCTTAGCAAGCCGGGCCACTAAATTTCTAGCCTAGGAGCGGTGGCAAGACGGAAATTCGAGAAAGAGTGGCAATCTCAGTGGTAAATTCAACTCCTAGAAAGCAAGTGCTTCCCCCCGGCCCCTCATCTTAGGGGGAGAAAAATACAATGTTAAATACCTAGTTAATCCATCACGCTCGAATCTACGGAAAATACCATACGTTACTTAATAGTGGTATAAGGATATCGCCTCAGCCTCCTCGTACTTCCCCTGGCTGTAAAGCATGTTAGGATGCTCGGCGCCGAGCACTAGCGTCCGTAGCTTAAGCGTCTGCCGGTAGAGCGCCTTGGCCTCCTCGTACTTCCCCTGCATGAAGAGCGAGTTCGCGAGGTTGTGCATGATACGGAGCGTATCGGTATGCTCGGCGCCGAGCACTTGTGTCTGTAGCTTAATCGTCTGCCGGTAGAGCGCCTCGGCCTCCTCGTACTTCCCCTGCATGAAGAGCGAGATCGCAAGGTTGTTCATGCTGGCGAGCGTATCGGGATGCTCGGCGCCGAGCTCTTGTGTCCGTAGCTTAAACGTCTGCCGGTAGAGCGCCTCAGCCTCCTTATACTTCCCCTGGTTGCGAAGCGAGATCGCAAGGTTCTTCATGCTGGTAAGCGTATCGGGATGCTCGGCGCCGAGCTCTTGTATCTGTAGCTTAAGCGTCTGCCGGTAGAGTGCCTCGGCCTCCTCGTTACGAAGCGAGTTCGCAAGGCCGAGCATGCTGCTGAGCATGTTAGGATGCTCGGCGCCGAGCACTAGCGTCCGTAGCTTAAGCGTCTGCCGGTAGAGCGCCTTGGCCTCCTCGTACTTCCCCTGCATGAAGAGCGAGTTCGCGAGGTTGTGCATGATACGGAGCGTATCGGTATGCTCGGCGCCGAGCACTTGTGTCTGTAGCTTAATCGTCTGCCGGTAGAGCGCCTCGGCCTCCTCGTACTTCCCCTGCATGAAGAGCGAGATCGCAAGGTTGTTCATGCTGGCGAGCGTATCGGGATGCTCGGCGCCGAGCTCTTGTGTCCGTAGCTTAAACGTCTGCCGGTAGAGCGCCTCAGCCTCCTTATACTTCCCCTGGTTGCGAAGCGAGATCGCAAGGTTGTTCATGCTGGCGAGCGTGTCGGGATGCTCGGCGCCGAGCACTTGCGTCCGTAGCTTAAGCGTCTGCCGGTACAGCGCCTCGGCATCTTGATACTTCCCAAGCATAGAAGTACTCTTCGCAACCTTAAAGAGAAGACTTGACTTGGCTGCGTCGTCGGTTGAATGGTCTCGGAACCCCAATACAGTTAAGGCATGCGGCAGATGCCTTACCCAGACGACCCTGTTCTCGAGCTTTGGGAAAGGAAACACTTTATCGAGGTGCTGTATTAGAGTCGTAGCACATGCCTTAAGTTCTCCTTCCTCCGTCAACCAATTTCGCATTGCCAGTCGGACAAGTCTGTGCATGTCGTACGACTCTTGGCCGGGTCGCTCGGTAATAAATGCGTACGCTTTCAACGTGCCGATCGCTTCGTCTGCTTCTAGGTCGCTGTTCCCCGGCGGGAGGAGACTTTTCGGAATCTCCTTCTCGGCAAGGAAGGACATGAATCTCAGGTACTGGGCGGCGAGCTGGTTGTCACGGGAGATGTGGCGAAAAGAAATCAGCCATGTCGCAGCAACTGGATTTCGGGTACTCTTATAGCGGGTTCGATCCTGAAAATCCTTGCTGAGCAGCTCGATCAAGCGCTCGTCACCCGACTGGCAATAGTTGAGGTACTGCGCTGTTGTTATACCTGTTTTTGCCATGTAGGCAGATGCCTGTTTAATAGCAAGCGGCAGGTCAACCAGGAAGTTAAGTAGGCTCGTTGTGCTCTGCGTGTCGCTGAGCTGGTGTACTGCTACATTTCTCTGCAATAGATCGACCGCTTCGGGCCTGCTCATCTCTGCCAGGTTCACGATGCCCCTCTGCGGGATGTCGAGATTGACAATCGCCTCGTGGTTCCGAGTTGTAAACAGGATGGAGCCCTTATGACTAAAAGGGAGACAGTCGCACAACGGCGTAGCCCCGGCGGCACCGAAGAGTAGCTCGACGTCGTCGGCGTTATCGACAATCAACAGCCAGTTATCAGCACTCTGGCTCAGAGCTGTCTTGACGAGTAGCTTGACATCCGCCTTATCGTCGTCGATCCTCGCGATCTGGAGCTGCCGGCCAATCTCACGGTAGGAGTTCTCGAACGTAGCGGCGTCGACAGCGGGGACCCAGAAGACATGGCAGTCCGGGTGCTCGTCCCGGACCCGAAAGGCAGCCTCAAGCGCGATTTGAGTCTTTCCAACGCCTCCGAGGCCCTCGATAGCAGTCCGCTGGCAGTCGTCCTTGTCGGCACTAGGAGGGATTCTCTCAAGAAGCTGCCCTAGAGTCGATTCGCGTCCTACAAAGTCCTTATTACGTCCAAACGGGACCAAAAAGCAAGGTCCGGCTGGTTGCTCCACAAGAAGCAGAGATTCTGAGAGACTTAGCAGGTGCTCTATAGCGCTCCTTTCCTAAATCCTTCCTAGTAGATCATTACGCACCTGGCATCGAAGGCACCCAGTGACACA